ACTGTGTATGTCAAAGGAATCAGGGATGATTTTGTGTCGCGCACTCAGCAAACATTCTCTGGTGGCAAAGAAGGAGGACCTCCTAAAGGCAAAAATATGCCTGAGATAGTGAACATTATTGTATGGGTCAGACAACTGGAAGCAAAGGTACAAATTAAAGTTATAGTCYGTGGCTAACAGGTCCATGGTTTGATGCAAATAATTTTGAATAGAAACCTTGTAAGTTATTGATTTTGGTGCTCCTTTTTCAGGTCAAAGAGACTCTCAAYACAGCKGAGAGTTTGTTGGGTGACTTGGCAGGTTTCCATGGATTCAGAAAAGAAGCTACAGAGCTGATAGAAGAGTTTGCAGCTTACACAAGAGATCAGTTTGAGAGTTGGACATCAGAGATGRTGTCACTGATTGATGATGCTAAACAGCCTCTCAGGTCAGTTTATTGACATTTAAATGGAAACCATTCTCATTTAGAGTGGATTTCATATGTCTGTACAAAGGCATGGATTACAAAAAGAAGACAATTCGGTACAGTCACATAACATTGCAAGTAGTGAATCATTAAGCATGACGTTCATGGCAAAATGCAAACGGCAGAAAAGATCACGTGACCTGCTTTTGGGGGGTTTATCCTTACAGTTTCAACGTCAAAGTGGGTTATTTTTAGTTTGCCAAAATCGTGAAAAGTCGCTCTTTCAAATGACTACCTAAAGCACAAGGTCAGGCACAAATTTCTTAGGTCATTGGTTCAGCTCTGCCATTAGCCGTTTGCCGTAAAGGTGATGCTTAAAGTCTCTAATAGGAAGAATGCTACCAGCTACCAGTTACCATTACTGCAATATTTTAAATCTAATGCCTGGCACCCATCACACTGAGATACGCATTATACTACATTTATAATACTTACCTAATAGATACTTACTTAGCTCTCTTGGAAGAGCAGCAAATTGAGCACAAATATCTCTTCATAGACAGGAGCCTCCAGCACACACTTCATTGACCACAGATTATTGATTGCATATAAGGTGCTCATATAGTATCTATTTATTATCTATTATCTCAGTCTACAAACCAGTGGCCGTTTGATGGAATTGGGTCACAGTGATGGTAAACTACGAGTTCACTATGGAGACAGACTTGTTACTCTAATGCGTGAGGTCAGACAGCTTAGTGCATTGGGATTTGTTGTTCCTGCTAAGATACAGCATACATCTAATGTTGCTAGCAAGTTCTATAGGCATGGGATGGTTCTCAAACAGGTACTTGTTGAAAAAATAACAGTCACTCAAAATATTATTGTTTTGTCATCACTTGACAAGAAACAGGATACTTGGAGAAAGACTACACATATGGGGGAGAAATTGATGGGGGACTCAATACTTCTGATATTTCTTTTAAGCATTTG